TTGCGATTCTGTGAACACCAGCACTACTTTTTTTAATAGTTTTTACAAAAAAATGAGCTGGACTTGAGGGCATGCTAGTATTCCTTCTGCCTGTATACCCCTGGGCAAATGAGGTTCAAACAGTTGACCTATCATTGCTACTCTGGGCCTTGATTCATTACCACAGCTTCTCCCTCTGGATCCATCTGTTTTCTTTGCAAAGGCATCTTTCTTACCCTGGTTTTGTTCTTTCGAGCGACGTATCCCTTGTAGTCAATTTGGTTGCGCTTTTCCTGAAGGTAAAATTGCACCCAGTTGTGCAAACCTAAGATCTGTTTGCCACGCCTTGTTTCTCCAACAAAAACATGTTCAAAACCACAAGAATCAGGTCTGTAATAAACCAAAGAATAATATTTAGGCGTTTTATATGTTTAAATAGTTTAAATTGTCAAAAGTAAAAGGCAAGAAGATGCACGAGCCTGCTTAGGTTGCTCTGTGAGCAGGTTTTTTTGGTCTGGATTAGTTGGGTTTTCCTTCTTACTTTGCATGAAACTTGCAATGAAATCTAGCCACGAAGCCTAGATTTGTATTTCATGATGAAAGTTGTTAGTAAATGCCACAGATGCATCACTGCTGCTTACCCAGACTTGAGCAGTGCTTCTGGCACTGTCTTCCGTAACAGCCTCACAGACAAACTGACCAAGTACAGACTAGAAAAGTGGACAATGTGGTAGGCTGAAAAGTGGAGGGATGTCTGCTGTGGAAGGCCTGTGATTAGGGACACAAAATGCGGCTGGAGGCAGTTTACCAGAGGTGTAACCCAAGGGTTAATACTCTTAGCATCTGAGCAGAAAGTCTTTAAACCCGACCTGTTTGGGAGTAGTGAACACCTGATTTAGGCCACATTCTGAGGCTGTCTTCCAGTTCTGTGTCTAACAGATGGCACTCGGGCTTGTATTTTCCTGACTTAGAGTAGTGTAGAGTATATCAGGAACCATAACCATCAAACATACCTGTCTCCTTCTTTCCTGGCATAGAGCTGGAACCAGATGTCATAGAGCTGAGATTTGAAATCGGCAAGGTTTGGCTTCGCTAGGTTTTTTTTAAGCAGATATTTATGAGCTAGCTGAAGGATAAAAACCAAGATATAAACACAGTTTACTTTTTAATTCAGTGTTTTCAGAGACTAAAAAATATCTGTGTTACTCACTTTCATGACTTCTGTTGCTAAGATAGCATCAAGAAAACAATTGTTTTCAACTATTTCTTCTGGAGTCACTACTTCTGCTACACCGGTTGATGTCTCATAGTTGTCCAATAAGGAAATAAAGGCTGCAGATAAAGAGAAACTTTCATCATGCTCATCCTGATAAACAGGCCTCATGCCTCAACATATCTGTGACACAGCCCTTAGAGTGCCATCATAAAAAGATGCCTTGACAGTCCTTGGAGAAAGACATTCCTTTATATGTCAAAATTCCTTCTGGGGTACACTGTTGGGTGTAGGTCTAGACGTGACTCCAGGTCAGATAAACAGCTTACTCCCTACTGAGCTTCCTTATGGAACCAAGTGCTCAAGCAATAATGACCTTCTACCAAAAAAAGTCATATCTAACCACCAAAATTACAGGCATTGGCTCATGAACTTGAGCTATGCTGGCAGAAGGCTTTGTGGGCATTACTTCAGTAGAGCATATACAGCATAAATCTACATGGGAAGGTGGCTTGAGCTTGAGCGCATGGCCACAGAATGGATGGGCTCATTTTCTGCTTTGCACCCCTTTTGCCACTGCTCCCTCCCATCACTTCATCTACTTGTGCTCTGATGCTCAGTGGACTCTGGAGCCTGATTCAGCACACCAAGCTGATAGAAGAATACTTGAGGTCAAAAACCTAAGTCATTTCCTGTGAGCTTAGTGAGCTGAAGGGGCTCAGCAAGGGGTTCAGTGGGCACCAGAGCTGCCCTCACTCGACACAGGATTGTGTGGCTCAGAAAAGAGTGGGGGGAACAGAGAAAAATGCTGCTTCCGGTTATGACGACTGTTTGATCAGCTTAATGAAACTCTGTCAGGGAAAAAGAAAGATCAGGGAAGGAAACTTCCATTCATAGACATGCTTGAAGTACAGCCCCCAACAGAAATGCTAGAGGTAGCTGTGGGCCTAAGTGCTATCTGAAAGGGCTAGAAGCTGTGAGCAAAGGAGGAAAGATGACTTTTTGCCATCTTTTTCAATAAATGGAATAACATCAAAGCAATATGTCAAGAATCTCATCCATTTCTCTTCGTAGTGGAAGAACCACAGAGAAATTCAGATTTGGGCAAAGGCACAGAAGGATGTTCTTCACGAGGCTCCAAGCAGCCTCCATGCAAATGCTGTGGAAACTACCTTCAAAAGACATCCGGCCTGATGATCCTCATCACCATCCAAATTACATACGACGTTATATTTTAGGCAAACACATAAGAACTAACATGGTTTCTTCATGTCATTTCCACCATTAACAAAAGAACAGGTCTCACTTGCAAAAGTCTTTATGCTCTTCAGGCGCTCTTCATTTACATCGTGAAACAGGTGTCTGGCTGCACTGTCCTGGCCAGCACCGGCACCTGCTTTTCCCTAGGAGAAACACCAGAGTAAAACAATGACAGAAGTAAGATTTCCTTAGAGGAGACAGTGCATGCCTTTGTAATATTCAAAACAAAACCCTTAATGCTATCAGGATTCTTTGTTAGGAATGGTCTTCCTACGAAACGAGAGGACGTTACAGAATAACTCAGCTCAGTTGTGGTCAGTAACCAGCTGTTGCTGCCATGGTATATACATCACAAATAATAAACAGAAGCAATGTGGAGCCAAGGCTCCCTCACACCAGACAGATCACTAAAAAGGAGTTTTGGGCACATTTCTTCTTAGTTAATTTGTAACCCACAGACCCACTGCATACAGTTTATGAGGCCATGCGGTGCAGCTGAAGGGTTGTTTCTCTCCTGAGTCCCTACTCCCCGGGCTAGCGAGGCTAATTCTCCTCTCCTCCGTGAAAATGCTAAAGCAATCCAACTCCTGAGTAGGCTCCCTCAGGCTCAGCCTTTGTTTTCTCTTCCTGACTTCATGACCGCAGCCCCAGCCTTCGGCCCAGTGCCAGGGAGATGTTGAGATAGTTCTGTGCAGCTTCATACTGATGCATCCCAGTGCTCAGGAGTTTTCAAAGACTTCGAGCTGGTCACGTTTAAGGGCATTTATGTTACCAACAGGCACATCCAAAGCAGATGGGAGGCTTTCCTGACAATTTTCAAGTTTCTGTTCCAAAAATGGCATTGTCAAGGAAAGAGGAGAAGATGAGTAGCAGTTTGTTAACATGGGCATGGGGTAACTGGAGCCTTGTTCTGAGAACTGGAGAAACCATATGGGAGAACACTTTCCTCACACACATTTTGGCTTGAGGTAGGTACCCCTTTTTCAAGTTTATCAGCAGCAGAAAATTATGTCTTATAATGTGAAGCAACTTTGAAATAAAGTGTTTGAGCACCTGCGTGAGGACAAACTTGGATACTGAATATTCAGGGACGTGCTGCAATTTCTGGCCAGAACACATGGTCATGTTTGCACTACATTGAGCTGGCAAGGAGTGAAAGGGCTGCGATTCAAATCTGATACCCACTCCTCCCTCACAGTTCCCTGGGACTGGTAGCAACAACCCTGAAACCCTCCTTACCTACACCTCTGTCCTACGCCACACTTGCCAAGAGAGTCCCAGGAATTCCTCAAATTCCTCCCTTATTCCCACCAGAATGACTTGGATCTCCCTCGCTGCAAGTCACCCAGACCATACACACAAGCAGTCATACACACATAAATACACTCTGTCACACATGCACAGAAACACCCACGGCATAGGGGACCTCAGGACAACTCTAGTCCTGCTCAAAGTATGGTCAACACTGATTTCAGGGTATCATCTCATTGGGTCTTGGAAACCTCGAGAGATGGAGATATCAAGGCTTCTCTGGGCATTCTGTTCTGGTTGCATTTGTCCTTGTTGAATTTCCTCAGTCTATTCCTCCAGCATGCCTAGGTTCAGCTGAAAAGAAGCCCTGTGCTTGAATTTCATCAACTTCATCACCCCAGTTTGCTGTCATCGGAAAAATTGGAAAGGTTGCACTCCATCTCCTCCTCCAGGCCATCAATAAAGATATTAAATGTTACAGTACCCAGGACAGACACCGGAGAGACTCCACGTGTAACCAACATCCAGGTAGTGTGGACCATGAATGTTCCCTCTACTGTTCCCTCTCCCGAGTGATTCTTCACCAACAGCAACTCCTGCCTATGCCATTAGTGGAAATGATGAAGCATGGGCAACACTTTTAGCAAAAGGCAGTTTTGCAGACACCTTTTCCTACAGTCCCATCCTGCCCTTGATCCTCATGTGACTTAGCCATCAGTTACCTGCAAATCAATTGTGTAGTCTTTCCCAGGGGTAAGGCGGTTAACATCCATATCCCACATCTCACTGAAAAGTTTAGAAAGTTCATGATTTAAGGGCTTCTTCCTGCCAAGAAATACACAAGTTAATAAAGATGCATGCTGTTATTTCTGCAAGTCGCCTCTAGAGTCTTCTGATGTCACTCTGTGTTCTGGATACCAGCTCGTCAGCAGGAGAGCTTCCTCTTCTCCCCACTCCTTGCTGCCATTGCTGTCAGTGCTGCTGTATAAAACACAGGGCTTCGGCTGACATTCGTACCCAAAGAATGCACGTAACCTGTAAACCTGAAGCTTGAGCCTTCCCTAAGGTTATTTTAGAGTCTATTTAAACAAAGTTCTTGTTAGTAGGCCTTCCTGCGGTTTTCCGTGCACTGAAATAAAAATGAAGATGGTGGTGTTTCATTCAGGACGATTCTGAGCTGTGGTGGTACATTTCCCTGCCCCAGCTCCTGGATCGCACTACGACCTAGAGATTCCCATCCAGCCTTGGCCATTGTAAGTTTGGCAGGTAAGCATCCCTTGTCTGTACCAAGCACTCTGCACTGGTAAGGTAGGGAACAGCACTGACCGTACTGGGAGTTCAGCTGCCTGACCATGATGTGTAGCAGGCATTCAACCACCTGGCCGTGGTGGGAATAAGGGTGGAATAACTAATCATTCCCTGACAACCTTGAGACTCGGGCAAGTTGGTATCATCAATTACTGACACCCTAGTAACTACACACCCGAGTTGTGGCCAAGGTGGAAAGTTACTGAGGCCTAAAGTTAATTTTGTTGTGACTCAAGTAGTCCCAAGTGACACCCTTTGAGCTCTCCTGGATCACAGCAGGCTCCACCCAGTATCTCCATCTGAGAGGGACGCCTCTCAGAGCTCACAAACTCTCAAGTTTGTGAAATCAGAGGACCTCAAAACTTGGGCTGAAACCTCCTTGAGGATCAACTCTTCAGCCACTGAGAGGTGCAAAGGTGTCCAACCTGAGTGTTTTCACTGAGCTCAAGGGGAAATTCTAACAGGTATACCTTTGTGTATATCTATTTCTACCTCTATATCCACATCTGTCTCTGTCTGTGTGCACGCAATTTTATGTCATTAACTTTGTTAAGTCTTTGATTAAGTTGCTGTGTTGATCCATTGATAGGTAAGTTTTGTTAGGAAGCTATATAATCTAATTTTGTGATTCATCTTTATAGTGTTAATGATCTTCAAATTGCTGCTATCCCAAAGATCCACAGAGCAAAATCACCACACTGTGATCACTACACCTAGTCCCTTAGACATAAACTGTTGGCCAAGTCTGGGACTAGGGGTGGCCCCAAAATTTCTCTATGAGAAGTTTAGAAAGCAAGGGCATCCACTCTGAACCTCGTGACTCAACCAATAGGGTGGAACTTCCTTACCCTATTCCCCTAATCCATATATATCTGTATCACACTAACCCAATTCAGATTCGATTTCCCGACCCTGTGTAAATAATTTTTAATCAGTATATAAACCATTTCAACTCAGTGCTAATTTGATTTTACCTTTGTATGCTTTTCCATGTCGAATAAGTAATAGAGTAGGCCTTGCCATTGAATTCTGTTAAGTCATGCTTTTCACAAATTCATATTAAAATAGCATTTTTTCCCCTAGTATCTGTGTCACTGATCTTTTAAACAGCTTAAACTAGTCTCCTTCATGACATATGTACCAACCAGGGGGAAGCAGATAAGTATCAGCGTGCAGCAACACTACGCAACAAATCAGGAAGCAAAAAATTCTCTCTATAATGCTTTTCTAGCAGCAATCTTATACACCTCTTCCTACCTTTTTTTCCTGAAAGACCCCACGCTAGAGATGCTCTCCTTTGCCCATATGCATGGTTTCCTAGCATAAAGTTGCATGATGAAAGGTGACTAAGACTCTTAAACACAGGGTTTGCATACAATAAAATTCTCTCAGGCACTGATCGCTGATGCACATACAAGCCTATGCCGGCTGATCCTTTCCTCATTTTAATGAACTATTTTCCCTGCATAATAGTTTCCCTGCAGAAGTCTATCCATTTATTTATCAACAAATTTTAGGAAGGTTTGTTACTGTGATGAATTGCCCAAAGGTAGCTCCAGTTCCAAGGACATTATGTCCACACTAACACCAAAGTTCAAGACAAAGAACAGAGTGGAGAAGAAAGCAGGGTGGATTAATCTTTAAATGACTGGTGGTTGAATTAATCAGTTACAAACCAGCACACGCATCAAAGCCGAGGGAAAAAGCCCTCGGTAATTTTAAACTTATCCTCCAAAGCAGCTGTTCTCAAGGAAAGACAAAACATGCAGAAACTTGAGCAAAAAGTGAGCCAGCTTGGCACCTGCCCTGCTGCTGGCAGGGACAGAATAGATGTTGTAGCATGAAAGAGGGCTTTAATCAAAAGGTGAGAGGTTTGTCTAAAGGCAGAAAACCAAGATTTCATGTACCTTCTCCTGTCCTGGACTGCATGGCTGGCTCAGAAACTGCTGCTCTAAGCTCCATGTGGCAAGAAGCAGAAAGTAGCAAACTGTCCCTGGAGAACTGGGACTTTTTTCTTTTTTTCCACATTATTGAGCAATCCTTTTCCTCCAGAACTGCCTGTGTAACTGTGGGATGGAACTCATACAGCCTAGGATTGAAATCCTGAAAATCATAAGCAGCCTGCACTTAACTCCTTGAGAGCTTGTTGCCCAAAGTAATCCGTATCCCCGAGTGAAGAGCCCAAAGCAGCCAGTTTACATGAATGCACCAGAGGATAAGCTGCAGCTGAGGAGGGTAAAGAATATATATGATACTGACAGCCAGCAGTGGGAAAAGCAACCTCCTACAGCAGGGCAGGGCAGACAACACTAACCGCTCCGGCTGCCACACCTCCGGCTGCCCGCCCCGGGAATCTGAGCCACCGCGTACCTCAGCCACGCTGGAGGCACTGATGCTCTGCCTTCACTCCGGCTCTGAGATACTTTTAGAGCTCTGTTGTGGGGAATCTAGAAGATCACTCCAGCTTTGAACGGGGCTTGACTAGGTCTCAACACCTGCAAGAAGGAAGAGGACTGAAAATCCTACGATACGGGAGACGATGGATATGCTTGTTGCTAGGGTTACCCACGAATATGAAGGCAGACTGTTGCTTGGATCTTACAGTGGAGCAGAAGGAGGCTGTCACAGAGGAGCTAGATTCAGCCCTTGTCCAAACCTCAGGCTCTGCTGATACAGCAGTGTGGCTTGCGGCACCGCGTCATCAGTACTGGCTGTGCAGCCCCAACGAGGCACCTGCTCCACGTCACGGGGAGTTCGCCTCACGGCACATCACAAAACCTACCACCAGCAGCGTTTCTATGGGTTTTCAGCCGTACCTCCGCATTCTTTCCAGAGTCTTAAGAAGAGCAATTCCTTCTCAAAAGATCCTACAAACCAACACTAACCAGAAAATTGTTCATCTCACCAGCTCAGCTGAAGTCCCAAGAACAGGATCAGCAAGGTCACAGAACAGTACCGGAGGTGCTTTTCACACTTTCAGCACTGTCTACAATCCTGTTACCTTGGACTGACCTACTTTTATTGGATCACTTTTCTCCTGGGTTCTGGACCCTCATGCTGCCCACTCCTCTGCATCATCTTATCCCACCTGAGTACTGCCATATTGTGTTTAACACATTTTTTACTTTGGCAGTAACTACCAGTGGCGGATAGGAGTCTGTTAAACATCCAAGGTATGTGAAATATCAGGGGTGATATCAGGTTGTTGGGTTTTTTAAAATATTTTGCTCTATATATATAGTATTTATATAGATATATTTTTGTATGTATGTATGTTGGTAAAAGAAGTCACCTATACAGGAAATCTGTCATCCCTTCTGCTTGTTCTTCATCCACTCTTGGCAGATTTGTCCTGTGTTTATAGAGGACTGTAGGACTCTGATTGATCTTTCCTCCTTTGAAATATTATGGAATATTGTAGGAGCTCATGGAGGCAAGCTCAAGGTGTCTACTCAGGCGAGGGTTACAGCAAGAGCGTACGTACAAATTTCAATCCCCATGTTTGGTTAGCAAATTTACTTCTGTAAGTGTATTCCTGCATTCAGCAAAAGTGCCTCAAAAACTCTAAAGCCACTTAATTTTATAAAATAAAATTATTTTTTATCCTTCTTCTCTGCTGGGTGCTACCACAGTATTATCATGGACTTTTCCTCTCCTTTTTGTTGTCCCTTTACACAGGGGACCTGTACCCATTGTAACTGAAGATTAGAATAAATTAAAATATATCCCTGCCAAAGCAAAGAACTCGTTTAGCAACTTACATCGTCATCTTGTAAAAACTCATTCTGGACAGTATTTCTTTAAAGAAGGTCCATTAACTTAGCTTACACATATGGGGTGAGACAGCTTCAAAGAGAAGCAGCCCAACACCTTCACGTAAATCCGTGACACATGGCATTTAGGTAAGGTTTTCCTGAAAAAGTATTGTGTTTTACTCCCTGGTTTTCAATATGATTGCACGTATGACTCAAACAAGGGATTTTTTATAATTAATTCTCAATCCCCTCCCTATGGTGAAACCTCTCTGTTGATAGATTTGTGCTTTCACATACACTAAGTTATTTCTTTGCAAGAAGTCTGGCCAATTGGATTTTGTCCAGCTGGAGTCTTGCATGGCTATGCTTACGGGCGCAAAGCACCACCCCAGTAACAAGAATGCTTAGTCTGCACTTGTAAGAGCTGAGAACACTTTTAGGGGAGACTCTCTGGAATAGTAACTCTGATGCACCAGCAGTGCAGCTCGAGCAAAAGAATCTCACATCTCCGTTCTGTTATAGCTTTCAAATGAAACCTTCACATGGTGTGCCTGTTTTTCCAAATTATGTTCTTGTATGAAGCCTTCGTTCTCCCAAACACTACCCCACGCAGAAGTCTTTCATTGCTATAAATCAAAAATGACTCAAGACACAAAGAGATTTCAAGGGTCAGTGGCAAGTCATGTGAGCAAGTCAACAGTGTCCAAGCAAGAAAAACATGTATTGCAAATGGGTCCCATGGAACCCTGCAAAGAAAGTTTGATTGAACATCTCTAAAGTAAATTTGCTTCCAGAGATCCTTTGAACAACATCCAATTTTTAAAAAGCCTTTCATCTTGGCCTGGAGAAGAAAAGCACATGTAAAGCCTGATGAGCAGCCATTTACGAGAAGTTCCCAATCACTTAAAGAAATTGTTTCCAGTGTTGTGAAATACATGGATCAGCTTATACGGTTAATAGGATATACGTGCAATTCTCTCCATTTTCCTCTTAGGCCAGTGTGTATGCCTTTCACTTGACTCTAGTGATGTTGTTCTTAGTTTAAAGTGGGTATTTGAAATGCCAAAGGAGAAATCAGACAGGTTTTGGAGTTGGAAAGGAAAATGCATGGTCAAGGGACAAACATCAAGAGTGGGCAGTTACTTGGGAAGCACTCTGTCAAGGTCCTGGGCAGGCAGGTGATGTTTGGAGAACCAATTCTACATTATCAGCTACGTTTAAGCAAAATCTGGTCTTAGCATCACCTTACTTCAGCTAAAAACGCTTATGATTCAGTTGACTCACCAACTTTTTACGCTGAAGTGAGTTAGTAAAACAGAATAGAAACAGGAAGCAGGGTTATTGCAGTGCTGCATTTCACCCCACTCCCTTTTACACGTCTCCCAGACAAACATATCCCATCCTCGCTGCCCTTCGCGTGAGAGAATTGGAACGATTTTCTCTTACCCATGAGCCATGCCAGGAAGAAGTTCGTCTCTTTGCAAATACACTGAGCAGGGAAGCTGCAACCTGAAGCTCAGAAGTCCTTGGCATGGAGCTGTCTCCCTCTTATACTCAGCTCGCCCGCTGAGGAGTGTCACTCGGACTGACGCGCAGCGCAGGAAGGCAAGGGAGAGGCAGGATGTGCCAAACCCCGCAAGAAGACGTGGAGTGCAAGGACAGAACCACGTCTCACGCCTATCAGCGCAGGCATGCTCAGAGCAGGAAGTCAGAGCCACCTCTACCGGGCTCGGCTTCGCCTTATCGCCGCACGCCATCGCTACGGCAGGGAACACAGAAGGCGACGGCGGGGAGGCGGCCGCCGCCTTCTCCCACCTGGGTTTTCAGGTATGAACCTGAGAACCTCGGATGAACGGCAGGCATGAGTCACGGCATTGCTTCTGCGGTTACGCTGGATTATTTGTTAACAGATTTTACATCTCCTCATGAATCTTGGGCCCAGAAATAAGCACTCCTGAAGTTCTCTGAAAGCCTTGACCGAGGTGGGTGGGCCAGCCCAGTGTTGCTGCTCTGCATACAGTTATTATTTGACAATAGAAAGGAAGACGATAATAAATCAGGGATCAGAGAAATTATAGGTGGGGAAGAAAAATAACAAAACACATGCTTCTCTATTACAGCCGAAATTGCTAGTTGCAACCTTGTAAATATTAAGAGGCATTATAACCAGGAAAACTTTTACAATGGCAGCACTTTGCATCCATCACTGGGAGCAAGTGGCGGCAGGTGCTGGTTAAGCACAGGTACCCCCTCCAGTGCCCGTCCTGGGAAGAATGCAGTCATTAAGTGTCTAAATTAGCCTTCAGATGGTTTAAAGCTTATTATTGTTGGATTGTTACTTTAAAAATGTTCTTCATAATAATTAGTTCCTGGAAAACATACCTTCATATTTAAACTGTTTATAAAACTGACCCCACCTGCAGTTCTACATCCAGGTGTGGAGCCCCCAACATCAGAAGGAAATAGACCGGTTGGAGCGAGTCCAGAGGAGGCCACGGAGATGCTCCGAGGGCTGGAGCCCCTCTGCTATGGGGACAGGCTGGGAGAGGTGGGCTTGTTCAGCCTGGAGAAGAGACGGCTCCGGGGAGGACTTATAGCACCTTCCAGTGCCTGAAGGGGCTACAAGGAAGCTGGGGGGGACTTTTCACAAGGGTCTGTAGTGACAGGACAAGGGGGAATGGGTTTAAACTGAAAGTGGGGAGGTTTAGATTGGATATCAGGAAGAAGTTCTTCCTGGAGAGAGTGGGGAGGCACTGGGACAGGTTGCCCAGAGAAGCTGTGGATGCCCCATCCCTGGAAGTGTCCAAGGCCAGGCTGGATGAGGCTTGGAGCAACCTGGTCTAGTGGAAGGTGTCCCTGCCCATGGCAGGGGGTTGGAACTGGATGGGCTTTAAGGTCCCTTCCAACCCAAACCATTCTATGAGTTTATGATTATTCAGCCATCGAGGCACATTTTTGTCACAGAAATGCCAGGAGTAAGTGACCACATTTCTGCAGCTTAATGTCTTCACCTAGGCCACGCAGTGATGGCACCTGCTTACCTTCAGCTTACTGTGTTCCCCTGCATTGATTTACCAGTGCTAATTCACAGGTTTGATCAGTAAACCATGGCTGACACGAACATTGTCACAACCAGACGAGCTGTCTGCCCAGAGAACATCCCAGGGGCTGGGAGAAAGCAAGTGCTTGGGGCCACAGTACCCCTGTGTGAGCTGAGGGCTAAGGGAGGAAATTTTAAATTTTTAAAATCTTGTATTAGGACTGTCCAGCATATATGCCTTCTTGAGTTTGTAAGGAGAAAGAGTCTGGGAATCGTTGAGGTCTGTTTAGTGCGAGTTAGGACATATTAATTGTATTAATTAAAGAGCTTTGGAGCGTTTAACATTTAGCATGGATACAAAGATTTGCTTGTTAGTCATTAATTTATAGACTTTGGTGTAAACTAAAATCAAGGTGGGCTGGCTGAAACATCCTCCCTTGCTCCACCGCTCGGTTCACCTGACTTTTGCGCAAGGATGGCCGCCAACGGATCTGGCTGTTGGCCATCGCCGTCCCAGAGGAGACAGAGCAGATTCCCGGGGAGGTTAAGGAGTGCCGGAGCTGGGAATCCTGGCACTCGGACACCTCTCTCCTTACTCTGGTTTACGTGCAGGTGCCGGCTCCAAGGGGAGGTCGAGGCTTGAGAAGTTTGATGGAATGAGGAATTGCGGTGTTGACATACAGAAGTTATCCTCTCATCTCGCAAGGATAGCTGGTTAGAAAAGGCGGACGCTGTGATTTTATTACCCTTGCTTCCTCCCCTCCCCCCCGCCGTTCTTGGAGCGGTAAGGGAGGGAAAATGGAGCCAAGGCGTCAGACCCTCACGGCGGCGAGGGCCGGCTGACGGTGGAGAGGCCCGGCAGGCAAACACGCCACGGAGAGCGGTGACAGCGTGACCACGCGATTCTGGTTTTTTTGGTGCGTGTGTCGTTTCC